ACTACTACATCTGAGTACTTAAAACTGTAATAATTACATTTAAAAAAATTTCAGATTTACTTTTGTGACCCAGTGACACTCATCCAAAAAAGTGCATTTGGTGTACCTCTAATTGTCTTATTAACCTAGTTTCCTATGTAATTATATTACTCATTTTCCCTAATTTCCCAACATCTGTCTCATTCTTTTTTAACGTTTTCCATATACTCACTTTGTTCCAAGTTTTCTAGAGACCTACTTCCTGAACCCGCGTCCTACTTACTTGACACAGTAGTCATCCAGGGACTCTCCTTCATTGCATTCCTTTGTGAGATATTATGTTTCAGGATCCCATGCCTTCTTACTTAGATTACTCCTTTGTTTTGTTGAAGCACATCCTCCAGTAGCCTCCTAAGAAAGGGTACATGGTAAGGTAAAATTTCGAGACCATGCAAGTCTAAATTTATTTTAGCTCCATACTTAGTTGGATTGTCTGGATATAGAACTGTAGATTAGAATTAATTTTTCCCCTTAAATTGGAAGGTCTTGCTTTCATAGTCTTCTAACATCCAGTGTTGCTACCAAGAAGTCTCCATACCATTCTGAAAACATCCTTTTTTGTAAACCTTGTTTTTCCCCTTTGGAAACCTTTAGGATCTTTAACCCTAGTATCCTGAAATAAGATATGCTTTTTGTCTGAATTCTTTGTGCCGGTGGGTCATTTTAGGAGGCTAATGTCTTACATTTTTGGGAAATGTTCTTTGTTTCCTCTCTTCACTTCCTTTTTTCATTCTCATTTTGAAGCTCTTATTAATCAGATATTGCATCGTTTTTTCTAATTTCCCTTTTTGTTCTTTCTTAAGTTTCTTCAGCGTGTCTACCAACACATCTATCGAATGTTTAATTTTGGCTTTCCTACTTTTCCAATATTCTTATTTTCTGATTGGTGATTTTTTTAATAGCATCTTGTTATTTCATGGATGTAATATATTCTTCTCTTTCTGACAATATTATAGCTTCTTTGGAAGTTTTATATTTCCTGCATTAGTTTCAGTCCTCCCCTCCGCCCCAGGTTCATTTTGGTATTTATCTTTCCTCGTTGAAGTTATCCTCAAATTTCTAGTGATTCTTGGCTGTCAGTGTATGAGTTCAGGTGACTGAAAGCCATTATGAATGAGCAGGGCTGGTGGGCTCTGGGTTTTACTGTAACAAATAATCAAGTGGCCGGCTTTTTATTTTAAATTGTTTATCTTTCTGGATGGGGTGGACAGGGCTGGGTATAAGCCTGGCTGCCAGATTATGTAGCTGGGTGGACAAAAGGGACTGATGGCTCATAATGTTCAGACCACTCACATCCTCTCAATCTTCCTGTTTCCAGTATAGCCCCTCGCTACCACCCTCTTCCAGCCCCAGTCCTAACTCTAACTGGGACTTTGTTTTAATTTCTCTAAAAATTAAGACTCCAATCTTTGTATAGAAAGAGGGACAGACGTCTGGCTACAAAAGGAGGGCACAAATAAACTTTCAAATGATACCCTTGATTCCAACTTTGCTCCTCACCTTCACTTCCCAGGGTAACTTGTGCTTCAAATCATTGAACCTTTTGGGGGTTCTGAAAGGAGAAGATGTGTTCCAATTTGTGAGTCTTTTTGGCAATGAAGACTAGCTGCCAGAACTGTGCAACTTATTATTTAAATTTTGAAAAATACTTAATTTTCCCCTTCATGGCAAAGGAGAAAATAACTACTTAAAACACACATAAACAAGAAAACAATCTACCTGTTATTGAGACAGAATTTTAAAAACTATAAAAATGTCTGGAAATGTTAATGGTTATGTGATTATTTTAGCCTAATACAATTTGTCTTTCATAAAAACTCCCATATCTGCAATGGATCTTCCTTCTCCACCTCTCTGCAACATACTAACTGGGTGTCAACTATGGGTTAGCCTCCCCCCAACTCCCTATCAAGTATCTGGAAGTAAGGAAACACCACGGAACACGAAGAACCATACTGTTTCCTGGGAACGACATGACTACAATCCAAGCTGAATCAATGCTACCAACACATTTATTTATAGGCCTGCCAAATAAAACACAGGATGCCAGTTAAAATTTAAATTTCAGAAAAATAATTATTTTTTTCTAGTATAAGTATGTCCCATTTTTCATTGTTTATCTGAAGTTGATTTGGGTGTCTTGAATTTTTCCTAAATTTGGCAATCCAACACATTTAAAGAAACAATGTGTCGTAAGTACAAAGTGACCAACATTAAAAAAAGAAAAACAAAAACAACTGGATTCAAAGAGGAAACTGGGACCTGGACCAAAGCACTCAAGACACTGGGGAATTCTATGTTACTTACTACAAGGCAGGTAGCCAGGGGCCAACACCTTATAACCCACTTTGTGGCAAGTCCCCATGGAATGCGTAGGCTGTGACCAACATTAATGCTTTCAATTACTATAGGAATTTAGTGTCTCTGAGTTGTGGTTGGCTTCTTGTGTCACCAGAACTCTCCCACCTTACCAATTCATGCTGGTTGCTCAAGGTGCAATCATAAAACCAATCCAGGGTTTTTGATGGAACATGGCCATACCCTTGGACTGTTCCAATTGTTTGGGTACCTCCCAAAGGAAGTTGCCCTTACTAGACCACTGCCTAATCAATAGGCAATGGTCTGGGAAGGGCATACAATTAGTTTATGTCAACTAGTTATAAGTCACTAGTTGACATATTGGAACATCGGGTTCCACAGTTGACAATATGGCTAGAAATGTAACATTAAGCAAGAGCTTAGCAGTTAACCTAAACTTACCGCCCTGACCCTCCAATAGGAAGACATTATCAGCTCCTTAATTTACAAATTGTAACACATAAGACTCTTCCATCTGCTTTTTTTTAAAGGTTTTATTTATTTTTAGAGGGGAAGGAAGGGATAAAGAGAGGGACAGAAACAGCAATGTGTGGTTGCCTCTTGCATGCCCCCTACTGGGGACCTGGCCTGCAGTCCTGTCGTCCAGGCATGTGCCCTGACTGGGAACTGAACTTCACAGACCAGCACTCAGTCCACTGAGCCACACCAGCCACGGATGGTTTCTGTTGAAATCTAACATGACACCACACCAGCTTGGTCTCTGTACACTAGGAACACAATTTTAATTTTGCTTGGCTGATCAGGATCCTGAGTCTGCTAGATGATTACTTGATTATGTCCTACTCCAGGGAATAGGACTTCACTTTCCAAACGATCCCAGGGATTTTCATATTATGTGCTGGGGTCATCTATGTCTTCGCAAATAAAATGCCCAAACATCAGTCAACTTGCTGTTTCATAATCCAACCCTAAACTGTCACGAACATTGTAACAGCTGACCCTGCTGTTTACCAGCAACAACTCTGGTAACTGTCTGCCTGCCACATCATTTTAAATTATTTTTAAACCAGGCATTCCTTTCCCATCTCTCATTGAGAACTTGTCACAGCTCTCACAGCTAACAGGAGCTGGGTAGCTAGCAAGTGTCAAATCATTGTGGTAACTTTTTCCAGTTTTGTGGTTTCACTTCCAAAGCGTTTACATAACCCCACAGCTGCCACCAACCGAAAGGGCACAGAACATTGTATACAGTGATCAGACTCATACACATAGCCATTAACCTAACTTTGTTTAAAATTGGCAACGACACACCATACCCTCCATTTGATCACAGCAAGCTAAGGCAGAACACCTAGCAGTTGTGTCACCTAGTATAGCTCCCTCCATTTCCCTCGGTCCAATAGATATTGCTCATTGGTGGACTTGTATGTCAGTAGCTTCTACAAAGTTGTCTTACGAAGTCATAAGTTGTATATATATCCCAGCCACATGAGCAAAATAGTACCAGCCCTATTCTTTGTATGCCATTGCCTCATGAACTTAGCAGACACAACTTATCTATGTACAAAATACCTATCTACTTCATCTATTTACTTAGCTGACTTTTCCTTGCGTGGCTTAATTGTTGGAATGTGCCTTCCACATGTATTTACACTACATTTGGATGACTGCCCCACTTTCAAAAATTTAATGGCCAGTATAAGGATTAGCCTTATTTAGTGTAACAGGAAAGCAAAACATCAATGGCCAAAAGCTTTAGGGTAATTTATCTTGGTTCAATATATTTTAAAACTTATTTCGTATGCATAATATCTTAATTTTGCACTCCCTGTATTTAGATTATAGTAGGCATTCCCTAATGCTATTAGACGACTGAATTTCTAACAAGATTATTTAAAACTAATGGGCTGCTCCAAAAGATACTGAGTTCTCTAACACTGGAGCCAAAATTAGACCATTATTAAAGATGTAAGAGTATTTATCAGCATGACCCATGAACATGAACTAAAGGGGGGATTGATGGAGGGAAGCGGGGTACCAGGCAGAGGCCAGGGTAAAGGGGAAAAAAAATGGGACAACTGTTAATAGCATAATTGATAAAATATACTAAAAACAACCCCAAGTGACTTCTAAGGTCCCTAAATTGCTCTAACAATCTACTCTAATATCAAAACACTGTTTTCATTAGAGCAATTTTTTAAGGTGGATAGTTGATAGGAGCTCCAGAAAATAATTCCCTAAAGCTGACCTCCTCTTGCAATGTATTGATTTTTTCTTAGGAAAGTGATGGGTTTAAAATACATGACTGTGGTCTTACGGCCTCAAGGTATTTGAACAGATTCAATGAAAAGAGGCTGCCTATCTGTACTGAGACTTTAAATACTATTAAAGGCCATTGGTTTAGAAATCCTGTTTCCTTAGTCCTTTGATAAATATTTCTATAGAAAATAAATGTACCCTTCCTTATTCTAATTATGGTGACTGCCTTTAACCAAAGGCCCATGTAGGGTGAGTATGAAAGTGGTAAATTCACCCCTAACTCCACATGCATGGCACAAAATGAAGCGAAGGCTTAAGGCTTATTCAGGTGCCTGTTCTTTTATGCAACCTGGAATCACTTAACATGTAAGCAATTGGGTTCAAATCTGGGTCTTGACAACATCTCTCATTATCTTCCTCAAGTATGTTTCTTTTCTAGAGTTGCCAAGTCACCACTTATCAGAGACACTGTATAGATACAGAAGATACAGGTACTATATCTATTGACTTTATTCAGCACTTTGGGGATGTTGAATGCCTTAAGCAAGGCAAGATCTATTTCATTTGCCGAGAATAAATGACCATACTCTGTTTAGCATGTACAAGTCTGTTGGTTTATTCAGCCGCAAAGCTGGGGAAAGACTTCCTTTAGGAGTGAAGAGGAAAAATGCATTTATGAGGAAGGCATTTTAATACACATAAATGCATACACACACCCACTCATGCACACATATACACAGAAAAAGGAACATACTATGGTTACATAAACAACATATTTTAATTTTTTGGACCTATCTTTCCCATTCCCCCCTTAAAAGAAAAAGGCGTAACATTTTTAAAAAGTTTCACAGAAAACAGCTACATAGGAACAGTTTCTGATACATTCAGTTACACTAACAGTATAATACCTTTCAGTTCAGTAATTTTCCACTAACAAATACTTTTTCTACCTACTACAATCCCCTCCTTGTTCTTCCCTTAAGACAACTAAGGCTCAGCAGAAACACTCATTAGGGTATAAACATTCTCTCTTCTTAAAGTTGCTACACATTTTAAAATTTGTGATTCCATTAATGCTCCAATTTTTGATGCCACATTGTACACAGACTTAGTTACGGAGAAGAGGAAAAAGCAAAGCTAAGGGGGTATATAATATATCTTTAACAATCTATTTTCTGAATCCTTTAGATGCCCAGTTAACCAGGATCATACACAGGTTTTATTCTTTAATGTAGGTGTGTGAAAAGATCTAACGGTCTCATGCATTTTATGTTGACTTCTACATTTTGACTCAACTAAATAAACACTGCAAGACTCATTTACAAGAGTACATACACTGGTTCAGGTATATCTAAAGCTAATCTATGTAGAAAAATCAGTGATACTAAAAAACTCCAAATCAGTGGATTAGGCTGAGGTTTTCTGTAGTAAGGTTCTTTAAAGTTAGAAGCAATCTTGGAAAGTTTGCAATAGATGGGGAAAGTGCATGAAGTAACATACAGACTGAAACACTTCAATCCATTAGCAGTTAGTATTGAAAACATAAATGCTCTCTTAATAATCCTTTCCCTTTGGTCTTTTGGAATGTGTTTTATTTCTTCTTGATTAAAGTCTGGGTGCTAAGGTGCAGGAAATATACTCCTATAGAGAAGGGGTCTGTTTAATCCCCAGGTACAATCTTATAGGTCCATTTAGCTAGAGAGCGCCTGATGGGAACTTGTAAAATGTTTATGCTGAAATTGCAGGTACTGTAACAGGTCTGGAGTAGTGTAGGCTAAGTTTGAAACTGCACTTTCTCCCCTCAAAAATGCCACATGTAGACTAGTTCTCATTTTATCCACAGGGTCTATCAAAGGGAAAGCTCATGATGCACATTCTCTGCAGCTGAGTTATGGGCCTCTTGGATACACATCCAGTACTTGGTATACTCGGCTTGTCAGGACTGGGCAGTTTGGTTGAGGAGGCATTCCTTTCTCAACCCTGGGTTGATTCCTTTCTCAGCTTTGTACTGCTTTCTCAGTTAGCAACACGAGAGATATCAGAACAAATGGTGGATCTTTATAGTGATGCAGTTAAGAGTTTGTTAACTGCCTTTTGGAAGTCAGTGTAAGAGTAAGTGGTGTTGATGGGTTCAGTGCGGGTTGTTTCCTTAACTGTTTTAGTTAACCAGCCACAGCAGCAACCAGAAACACATGAATTAGGGATCTGTTTTAGGTATTCAGTTATGGGAGTGGCTCTACTCAAGGTTCGGCTTAACTGTTTGGTGGCAAACTGCAGTGCTCCATTCAGAGTGGCATGATCTCTAGAAAGCCGGCTGGGACTTGTCAGGGGCTTTTGAAAAGGTGGGACCCCACAAGAAGCCAGAGGTGGCCATTCAGGAATTGGTTCCAGTTTGGGTACACAGTGGGAGCAATGGGAGAGTCTTAGGCCTATCTCACGAAGTATATGGACCGGTGTGCTTGGATCTAAGAGTTTAGCATGATATAACCAGGAATTAGGATTTAAAGGTTTCCAAGTTGTTGAATATTTTAAAAGGCACTTAACCTGCCAGGCAAGACTCTCAAGAGGTGTTAGGTTGGGCACCACAGGGTCCTCCTCTTCAGAGGAATCCCACTCTTCCCCAGAACTCTCATTTAGGTAGTTAGCATTTTCTTCTTCCTCACTTTCTGATTCTGATAAGGGGTCAGGAGAGGGATTCCTGGGACCCATTAGGATACAACAGGAGAAGGAACCAGAAAAAGGTACAATTTAAGCCAGCAAAACACTGACTAACACAGGCAAACAGAAACAAAAGATGAAAAATCCTCTCAACAAGATTAACTTGCCTGTTTCTGAGTCCGTTACACAGAGTATGCCTTGGGCTTGCACCACTGTGCAGTTCTTCAGATCCTGTTGTATGTTCTTCACTTACAAAGAAGACATCTCAGTTCTCAGGACCAGTTCAGTTTGTAAAAGTGTTAGTCACTTACCAGTGGCACAGGTCAGAGTCTCTCCTTTAAATCCTGGCTACCCGAGAAGACAAAGGGTCCTCATCTAGGCAAGCTGATTTTCTTAGCATGGTCTCAACTGGTCGTGACACTGTGAAGAGACACTTGTGTCCTCTGTTTTGTTGCTAGGTTATTACATCTACTTGGTAGAGAAAAGAAACTCAGTGGTTGCCTTCAGAGTCTACTGGTGCAGCAAATTATGTGTAGAGCGATGGTGGGATGAGTTGTCGAGAACATCAGGTGCACATGGATCCGATGTTTTCCATAGGTGGTTCAAATGCCATTGGAAACTTGGTGGTTTAGCTGTTGGACTATCTGGAAAGGTAGCCTTAACCTGTGAATGAGAACACTAGACACATGATATTAAAGCCTGAAAGAACTAGGTAACATAGTCCACCTAATTATGAGTATCCAAGAACATGGATGCTGAACAAGAGGCCTCCTTGGCTTTCCCATCTCTATCTCACATGCTCAGGCAGATTTTCCTAGCGGGAATGGCTCCTAAAATCACAAATTGGTAAGGTGAGCCTGGGGCCGTTTTAATCCTCCTCTGGTACATATCTGGGCCAGTTTGTTTTTAAATATGCAGTTCTAGCCCAGAAAATTACTTCTGCTAAAGAAGATCCCTTATGTCCCAATCTCCAAACAGCTATAAAAATTCCTGTATATATATTTTTTAACTTGTAGATGTGCTTGGTGGGATTAGTTTTTGGAGACCTGTCCTGATTGTGGAGCTGCTAGATATTATATGACTTTTGCTGGGACCCCGGAGGTTGGGGTCATACGACCATACTCTACAGATATAAATCCTAATACAGTAGGAATTACACTGAATGTAAATAGATTAAACTCAAAATTAAAAGGCACACACTCAGACTGGATTAAAAAACAAAACAAGATTCAATAATATGCTGCTAACAAAAGATGTTTTAAAGCAAAAAGGCACAGAAAGATTAAAAAAAAAAAAGGATTAAAAAAGAAATATCAGGCAACTGTGGACCCAAATAAAGCTGAGGGAGCAATTTTAATATACAACATTAAGGTCTTAAATCAAAAATTGTAAGGGACAAAGATGGACAATACTGGTAAAGGCAACTGAATAAAGTGACATACAGTTAAATCCTCACTTAATGTCATCAACAGGCTCTGCAACTTTAAATTAAATGATGTTACCATAGGCTACTTGATATAAAGAATTACATTCTTATGGCATCTCATCAATGTTATAACAAAGTGATGTTGAACAAGATGATGTTATCTGAGAACCTGCTGTACGTAACATATATGCACCTGAAAACACATACTCAAAATATCTTGAGTAACAACTGATAGAATTAAGGAGGGAAATATAAACAGGGATACCAAAAGTATAAAGAACAGTTAAAATATTAATATGCTTTGGGTATTATTTAAGTAAACAGAACTCTGTACCAAACAACAGATACTCAAGTGCACGCCCACACATGCATTAGATTATAAAAGTATAACGAGATTCCAAAGGGTATTTCATTCAGACTAAATAATCTGACCACAGTGCAATAAAAGTAGATATTAAATGTTAGTTAAAAGTAATCCTATGTTGGGACCTAAATAACTCATGGGTTGAAATGGAAATTATAAAGGTTATTAGGAAATATTAAAACTGAATAATATAAACCACCCACAAGGCATAATTTGTGGGACATGGCCAAACCAGTACCCAAAAGAAATTTATAGCTTTGAGTACAAAGAAATTTAAATATCTACAAGTTCAGAATTCAATTCAAGATAGCGGAAAAGAGCAACAGCAAAATAGGCAGGAAGGAAATAATAAAAGCAGAAATGAAACAGTATATAAAATAGTAGTAGAGAAGACTGATAAAACTAAAATATTTCCTAAAAATATGAATAAAACAAAACTGGTGAGACTTATCCAGAAATATCTAAAAATAACAGATTAAAAATGAAAAAACATGACAAATATATGCTAAAATGTTAAAATCCAGATGAAATGGCTAAGTTCGAGAATATAAAATACTAAAATTCGTACAGGAAGAAATAGATAACTTCAACAGATTATACTAGTAAGTATTAAAGAAAATGAAAAGGTAACAATTTCCTTTTAAAAACAACAGGTCCCTATGGTTTTACAAGGGAGTCCCACTAATTCCTGGAAAATTCATGTTATTTTATATAAGCTTTCTTAGAAAAAAGAAAAATGTATATAAACTGACTAGCTCTCCTTTCATGAGAATAATAAAGTATTGATTCCAAATCTAAACATGAACCAAATAAGAAAAGTATAGGCTCATTTCACTTGCAAAAATTCCAAATATTACCCAACAAGACTATGTATTAAAGAAAAGAAAAATATGTTATAATCAGGTAGAGCTTATCCCAGGAAAGCAAGAATATCTTAACTTTAGAATATTTCTATATGTCACCACAGTAATGTAATAAAGCAAAAAATGAAAGCTACTTTCTCAACTTGGTAAGGGTTATTGGTCAAAAATTTCAGCAAATATTATCCTAAATGAGAAACTTTAGCTATAGTCCCTTAAAAAAGAAAATTAGATAAGGATGACCGTGATGATTGATCACAAAGAACCAAAAGTTCTACTCGAAGTTATAATAAAAGAACAAATGACAGGTGTAAGAACTGAAAAAAAAGAAATAAAGGTATTAATTTACAGATGATATGGTCATCTAACTTAAAAAGAGACTAACATGTAAACTATTAGAGCTAATGAAAGAGCTTAACAAAGTTTCTGGAACTTAGATTAAACACCTATAAAATATTCATTCATTTATTTATATAACACTACTTGCCAGGTACTATTCTAGAAACTGCATAAATGTTAACTCATTTTAAATAAACTCCCCTACAAACCTTACAACAGAAGTACTTTTATAGTCCTCATTTACACAAGGCTTAAGCTATGTGCCCAAGGTCACACATCTACTATTAATGAGTCAGAAATGTGAACTCTTTTAACTTCTATACCAGTAATACTAACTAGAAAATGCATTACATAAATACCTCTCACAAGGTAAATCACAAGACCAAAAATGACGAATTCAATCACATCAAAGTTAATCATTTCTTGACTGAACTAAAGATACAAAGAACGAAGTTTACAAATCAACAACAAAAAGTAGCAACCTCATAAAGAAATGGGCAAAGAACAAAATTATCCAGTTTACAGAAGGGAAAAGCCATAAGCTGTTAATCATATAAGCAAAGTGTAGTATTAGTCCATTAGTTTGGTAAAAAATTAGAAAGCTAGACGATGCCAAGTATTAGTGAGGAGACTAAAGGAACCCCTCTAGGAACCAGAAGTTACAGATTGGGATAAGCTTCCTGAAGAGCAACAGGCAGCACTCCTTAGCCAAACTATTTGCACATCTCATGATCCAGCAATTCTACTCTTGGGTATATATAGAAGAAGCATTCTAGATTTCCATCACTGGAGTTGTAGACAGGTAAAATGTGGTAAGAGCGCATTAGAAGTATACACTGCAATGTCTGGACCGAAGGCATAGCGCTACATGAAAAAAGAAAAAACAAAATGTCAAATCCCATTTATGCCATTCTGTAGGAGTAATTTCTAAAATGAAAGACAGTAAACATCTTTGGTTTCAAATATGCACTGAGTTTGTAGTAATACGGTCATATGGTATGGCTTCATGTCAGTAATACTCCTTTAAAGAACAGTACTTCTCTGGCTTCTATGCAGTCTTTTTATATAATTCAGTTCCGAGTTATGTCTGGCACATATTAGGGGCTTAGAAAGTTTTTAAAAAAAATTAATGAGGGAACGATGAAGGTCTGCTGTAAGTAACTATACAAATATGTTCTATTTTTATGTGAGGGAGACAAAAATTCCCAAATTATATTTAACTGACTTGGTAATATGGTGGACAAACATATATTATTAAACAGTGTTTAAAGCAGAATCAATAAAGATGGCACTACCAAAGCAATATAGAGGGAACTGCTTGTAACTTCATCTTCAAGAAGAAACATGAATTGCAAATACTTCTAAGTTTATATTATTACCTAGTTCAATATGAAAATGAAAATTCAAAACATACCGTAAGTCCTTATTTTATTGAGACAGGAGAAGCTGTTGGCTTTTAATTCTGTCCTCTTATTATTTTTACTATTTTCATTTCAACCAAATTCCATCTGCAAGATTACTGAGTATATTTGTCATTGCATTAATCAAAGCGTGCTTCAAAGGCTCACTCTACCTAAGTAGAAATAAGACAAAGTCTCTATGTAAATTCTAGAGTGAGCCCATCAATGTTACTCCTTTCCATTCCATGGGCATAGTTTTCCCGTGACAAAACTGAATTAACCACACCTACTCTGTATACTCCCATGAATAATTTACCTTTAAAAAATGATTTCCCTGTAGTTTCAGAACAGCCTTACCATACACATTTAGTTTTGTTATCTCTTCTTAGCAAATTTCAAGCATACATACTAATTAATAACTGAAGTTAACATGGTGTGCATTAAGTCTCTAGAACTTACTCATAACCAAAGTATAACCTTCGACCAAAATCTCCTCACTTCTTCCACCGACCCCTCCCCCACGACAGCTACTAGTAACTTCCATCTTATTCTATTGCTGAGTTTAATTTTTTTAGATTCCACATATAAGTGGGATCACAAAGTACATGTCTTTCTCTGTCTGCCTTATTTCCCTTAGCAGAATGTCCTCCGGGTTGAGCCATGTAGCAAATTGAAGGATTTCCTTCTTTTTAAAAGACTGCATATCCCATTGTGTGTGTATCTCACATTTTTATCCATTGTTGGACACTTAGGCTGTCTCCATATGTTGGCTACTGTAAATAATGCTGAGATAAATATGGAAGTGCAGATGTATATTTGAGATGGTGACTTTATTTCCTTTGACTATATACTCAGAAGTGAGAATGCTGGATCATATGAGTTATATTTTTAATGTTTTGAGGAACTGCTATACTGGTTTCTATAATAGCTGTACTAATTTACATTCCCACCAATATGTATAAGGCTTCTCCTTTCTCCACATCCTTGCCAACATTTGTTTTCTTTTCACTTTTTGATAATAGTCACCCTAACAGGTGCCACGTGTTACCTTACTATGGTTTTGACTTGCATTTCCCTAATCATTAGTGATGTTGAGCACCTTTTCATGTGCCTGTTGGCTATTAACATGTCTGCTTTGGAAAAATGTCTATTCAGGTCCTTTGTTCACTGTAAAAATTTTCTTTGGATATTGAGTTGGATGATTTTCTTATGTATTTTGGATATTAACCCCCTTTGGGATATATGGTTTGCAAATTATTTCTCCCACTGCAAAGGTTATCTTTTCATTTTGCAATCTTTAAAGTTTTTCCAGATTACAATGTTCAAAAAATACTGAAAACCCACTTAATCCGTGGTTGGGGGGGGGGGGGGGGGGGCGGGGGAAGGACAGATAGTTAAAGCATAGTTAGGCTGACCTCTGGCGGCCAGACGCCTCATCCTGCCGTCACTGACAAAATCCTATGACGCCATCTCATTTGCGGTGAGACAGCCAACTACAGTACAGTAAAGGACATGATGTTAGTTCACAGCCAAACAAAACAAAAGTAGCAGGCATCTGAGGCATATAGAAAGCTGAGCAATTAAAGGCTGCAAAAGAAGTAAATACCTCCAAACATTAGTTTGTTCTAATTTTTAGTTTCCATGAGACTTCACATAAAAAGCAAATGGTATATACAGGGGTTCTCAAAGATCGAATAGTTCCGTCCTATCCAATACTGTAGCCACTTGTCCTATGTGTCTGTTGAGCACCTGAAATGTGGTTAGTGTAAAATAATACCCAATTTCAAACTCTGAGGGGAAAATTGTAACAACTCACTTATTATTTATGTTGATAACATGTTGAAATATGTTGGATATACTTGGTTAAAAAATGAATGCCCTTACGAGGTTTCTTTCACCACGCCTTTCCGGGCATTCTGGTGCAATACATTTTAACTATAGTGACATTCTAAATGTTTCCAGTATATTCCACGTATTCTTAGGCCTCTCTCCTTTTGCTCCAACTGATTAAGCTAAGAGGCTTTTTCAGAAATTGGACATCTTTATAATTCTGAAATTATGGGCAACCCAAATGCTTTCATATTCATTACTTTATCATTTCAATACCTATAATGGGTCGGGAATTAGGACTATGAAGAGGATGGATGAATAAATTATGGCATATTCATGCAATTGAATACGACAGCAACCTGTGGCTCAGACTCCTCATCTTAACAGGAGAGAGCAGTTACCTCACATGGGCTGTTTGTAAAGATCAAGTGAAGTAAATTTCTCCGACCACCGTCTTGCACAAAAGGGTCCATAGACGTAAGTTACTATCATGCAAGTACCCATATAAATAAACCTTAAAAACAATACTGATTGCAAAAAGGAAATGGCATTTTCGAATGTTCGTATTAGAATACGAAAGCGATACAGTATACTTTTCAGAGATGTATTCATGTATCGCTAGCACATGGAAATTAACAGTAAATTTAGAAAATCACCTGGAGAGGGAAGGTGATTTTAAAGGAGGAAGATGTATGCGCGGCCCTGTAATCTTCTATTCCTTTTAGCTGGCTCATTTTGTTCTGACATAATTCCATTAAAAAAAGTTTAAAGGCTTAGTTTCTGCTCGAAGGCACTCAAATTCCTTTATCTTCACCACCACCCTGAACGCTCCGCCGTTCTCCTGCTCTTCTCTGCTGAGTACTCTGTCGTTATGCACCTTTGTGAACCAGGCCTCGAAAGCTGGTACATCTCAATTAAGCTGTTCTCTACATTAAACAGCGCCTCCCTTCGCAGCCGTTCCCAGCGGGCTTCCCTCGGTCGCCTCCTTCCTCCAGCCGAGGGCCCAAGGCTCAGAAAGACCGCGGCCCGCCTCCATCACGAGGCCGCGGAATGGCCCCCTCAGCGGACCCCTCAACATCTCCCTTCCCGGCAGAAGCCAGGCCGCGGCTCTGCCCTCCAGTACCCCTTATCTCTCCCTTCTCGACGGCTCTCCAAATACACCCCTCCTCCCGCCCCTCTGCTCCCCTTCGGTAGGAGCAGGGATATTTCCCTCAGCAGATTCCCTGTTCTCACCCATGGAGGGTCTTGTTTCTCTCTCGCCGCACGCCTAGCCGGACGACCAGGCTAGGCCCAACGCCACTCTGTCCCGACAGTCTCACCGCCACTCCGCTCGCCCTCTCAGCCTGGCCCACTTCCGGGCAAGCCTACGACCCCCTCCTCTTAGAAATGCCACTTCTCACCCGGAAAACGGCTGGATAAACCCCAAGCGCATGCGCCCCAAATGCAGCGTGCGAAGTGGGTGGATCTGTTTCTTCCCGCTCTCGTCTCCGGGCGCTACCGCGGCAGTATCGCGGTATTTCCTTCTCCCGCGGGAGTTATTTAAACGCTCAGGCGGTAACTACACCCCGGGCGCTCAGTGGCCGGCAGAAGGGGTTTTGGAAGACGTGGAGGTTAGGCTAGTGGCCTGTCGGTCCAGCTGCGGCCGATCGCATCCGGGGCTCGTCCCCGCAGAGTCGCGCCACCATGGGGGCAGAGAAGAAGCTGCTACCAATTAAGGAGGCCTTCAGGCTGGCGCAACAGCCGCACCAGAACCAGGCGAAGCTAGTGGTGGCGCTGAGCCGCACCTACCGTACGGTAAGCGCGCTGGACCCCGAGGCCCCTGGCCGCTGGTGCCCCTCGCCTTCCCGTGACCCTCCAGACTCGTCGCTTCGCGACTCCAACTAACTTAAACCTCCCGGCCCGGTGACTTGGCGGGAGACCTCCGGGTACCCCTTCTCTCCGCGGTGGCCTCCGGCGCGGACCGTTAATCCTTTGTAGACTTTTACGAGCTCCGAAGGCGACCAGGCACCCATAATTGGGCCTCAGCGTAGATCTCGGAGGCTCTGCTTCAGCGGTTGTCCCTCCGGTCAAGTCAGAATGCCCGACCGTCAGTCAACCTAATCTAACCTCTCCCGTGGTTAAATGGAATCGAATAATCAAATAGCAAATTAATTATTAGGACTTGGTTCTTACTGTTCATGTAAATACTGTTTGTTTTGTTTGTCTCGAGTGGAGCCCTGGCTAGGACAATGAATTTCGAAAAAATTAACTATCTTGAGGTCCAAGAAAAAAGTGTAAATCAGTGTAATAGGACTTGAAAGATTTGAGACAGGATGTTAAAGTTACATCAAAAGGAAGTTTCTGTGCCATAGTAAGGCTAAATATGATAAAACATTAAAGCCACTGTTGATCTTGGGTTCATGTTTTTATTAACCCGGTACTAAGGCATACTGAGAATTAAGCGATATTGGAGGAAAAAAGGAATCGTTTCATTGCCAAAATTCACTATTGTTTTCTCCCTGGGAGAAGTGCCTCTCTGGAGAGAAATTTGTGCAAATTTATTTCCCTTTTGATGGTTTGGATAGTTCAGTGTTTATTAAATAATGACTTTAGTTTGAGTTATGGCTACTGCTTTCCGCTGTCTTAGGGTCGCGTTGGGAAAATAAGGATTTTTATCAGTACAGCCTGTGAAGGGCTTCCTTTGTCTTTCAGATGGAGAATAAAACAGTTTTTCACGAGGAATTCCTTCATTACCTTAAGTATGCAATGGTGGTCTACAAACGTGAACCAGTTGTGGAGAGGGTAATAGAATTTGCAGCGAAGTTTGTTACTTCATTTCACCAGGCAGATGAGGAAGATGATGAAGAGGAAGACGGTGGCATTTTGGATTATTTGTTTACTTTTCTATTAAAGGTATTATGGAAACCAGAACTTCGGAGCAGTAATTGTAGAAACTTTTACTATATTAAAACGGCCAGGGAGTTGTATAGAGATTGAAATATTGGGTAAATGAGAAAATGTCTGTTTTTTACAGGAAATTTTAGAACTGTCGTTAAGATTAAATGGTGGACTTTTAAAATAACTCGAGCACTAACTTTTTAATGACATTTCTAAACCAGTTCTCTAATACATTTATTTTAAATGAGTATTTTAAAATCAAAGTAAGAATGCCTATAAAAAGGAACGAATATACTCTTGTAATTTAGCAAATACTTTACACCATGGATTTTGAGACTTTATATAATGTATTTTTTGTATGCATATGCATCAAGGTAGCATAGAATTCAAATGATGTGTGATTATTTAGTAATGGCAGGTGGCTAAATTTTGATTATTTCCATTTCAGTCTCATGAAGCAAACAGCAATGCCGTTAGATTTAGAGTGTGCCAGCTCATAAACAAGCTCTTGGGAAATATGCCAGAAAATGCCCAGATTGACGATGATTTGTTTGATAAAATTAAGGAAGCCATGCTTATTAGATTGAAGGATAAAATTCCAAATGTGAGGTTACAGGCCGTCCTGGCTCTTTCACGACTTCAGGACCCCAAAGACGAAGACTGCTCAGTGTCTCACGGTATGTGTAGCTCCCAAAATCGTTTTTCAGTTTTGGTGACTTCCTTAACTTAACAGTAGATGAAATTTTTGTTATGAACTATGTATATGAGAGGATATATATATGACTTTTTAAAACCCAAGGAGACCACCCAAGTGTCAAAAACAGCATTATCAGTAACTTTCCAAAGTTACTTGGAAAGTAACTTTGGGCCCCACCCCAGTTACATCACTCTCTCTCAGAGACAATGATTATCCTGAGTTTTGAATGAATTCTCTTGTCTTTTTGTTTAAACAATTAACTGCATGTGTGTATCTCTAAATAATGTTAAGCTTTGCATGTCATTTTGCATGCTATATGTGTTGTTATGTATTTTTCTGGGCTCTCAACATTATTTTGTAACTAACATTCATGTTAATCTGTTTATTTACTCTTTTGTAGCATTCTGTGTTATGAGCGTAACACAATTTATTTCTAATACTGGAGGACCTTCTAGTTGTTTTCAGCTATTTTGCCCTTAAAAAACAATGTTGTTTCTATAAACTAACAAATGATTTCTGGTGCATAGGTTAAAGGTTTTCTAGGGTATACATGTGTATTCAGCTTTATTAGATAAGATACAAGTGTTGTTGTGTAAAACAGTTTACCAATTAATATTCCCAATAAAAGTGCATACAAGCAGCCCTGGTCTGTGTGGCTCAGTGGCTGGAGCGTCACCTAGTGCACTGAAAAGTGGCGAGTTGGATTCCCAGTCAGGGCATGTGGCTAGGTTGCGGGTTCAGTCCCTGGTGGGGGAGCATATGGGAAGCAGTCAATGTTTCTCTGTCTCTCTGTGTGTCTGTCTGTCTCATCTACATTTCTCCCTCTCCTTCTCTCCCTCCCCCACTTCGTTCCTCTTTCTCTAAAATCAATGAATATATATGTCCTCAGGTGAGGATTGAGGGGGTGGGTAATCCATACAAGTCTTTATTGATCCATATCCTCTCCAGTGTTTGGTATTTCAGATTTTAGATTTTTTTCTGTGTGATGTATGTCATTGTTATGCATCTTTTTTAATGTTTAACAGCCAATTACATTTATTCTATTACATAACATTTGTTAATGTGTTCTGCCTGTTTTACTGTTGGTTTTTCTTACTGAGTTTTGGAGTTCTTTATAATGAAAAGAAATTCTTTGGTTATGTGAATTGTAGATCTCTTCCTATTTTAAATGGCTTATTGTTTCACTCTTTTTGGGATGTCTTTTGTTGGATAGAGTTCCTAATATCAAAATTAGCAATCTCATGATTTGTACTTTTTAACTTTTATTTAAGAATCTTTCTTTACTTCTGGGCTCATAAAGATAGCCTAAGTATATTTTGGGCATTCTTCTGTTCAGTTTTCTCTTTCTTCCTGTGACTAGCTTTATAATCAATTTTGATCACTGGTGGTACTTGATATTTTTTGGTGTTAAACGATGCACAAAATAATAATGTAGAAAAACGTGTTTAATAGTCAACATGTGTTTGTTTATAAAGCTAGGAAAAAATTGAGAAGTAGAGGTGAATCAACATTTAAGTACAGGAATGGATTTTATTTCAGTAAAACCAGATATTTCTTTTTAGAACTAATTAATAATCAGAATAATAATGAGCCCTTTTTAAAGTCATAGCAATATAAAAATAAACTGACTGCTACGCTAGACATTCTTCTAAATTTTGAAGAGTAGCAGAGACATCTTAATGACAAGTTTTCCAGGATCTTTAGTGCTGTTTGTTTTTGTTTTAGCCTCCATGCCCAGTCCATTTAGTACTTTCCCATTCTGTCCTTTTTAAGGGAAGTTGGCAGAAAAATAATCTTCACCTAAAATTAAATGTGTAAGACTAAAAAAAAAACAATATATTTTTAAATCCTTTTAAAGATAGTATTAAATATCACATTGTGGGCTATCTTATGAATATGGTTAGAGAAATATTTCTTTAATGTACTAAAATATATTGTTTTGTTTTTTAGCATATGCTACTATGATTGAAAATGATTCAAATCCAGAAGTTAGGCGGGCAGTGTTATCATGTGTTGTACCATCAGCGAAGACTTTGTCAAAAATTGTAGGGCGCACCAGGGATGTGAAAGTGGCCGTCAGAAAGCAGGCTTATCAGGTAAATAAGTTCAGTATTTTGTGTAGGTGTATTCTTTAAAGTCAAAAAGCCATATTCTTAAGGTACTTTTTAAAAATATTTGGGAAATAATAATGATTTCATTAATTGAGATTTGTACATATGGAAAGTATAGGTAATTTAATGTATTACCAGATACTAATTTTTTTGGAGATTCTGGATAATTTTCTTAAAAGAAGGAGATAGTACTAGTTATGCAATATGTAAGCTATGTTGAGTTTAATGACCATCTTTTTGTTATTATTATCTCTTTAAGGTTTTAGCTGAAAAGGTTCATATGAGAACTATGTCCATCGCTCAGAGAGTAACGCTCCTTCAACAAGGTCTTAATGACAGATCAGGTAAGATAGACATCTTTAGTAAATTTTGAGTTCAGATGTAAAAGGTTTAGGAAACTTAGGAAACAAGTGTCCTAAATTAAGTCAAGTAAGCCTATTCCACA